GGTAGGCATCAGGCAGGCACCAGGTAGGCATCAGGTAGGCACCAAGTAGGCATCAGGTAGGCACCAGGTAGGCATCAGGTAGGCACCAGGTAGGCATCAGGCAGGCACCAGGTAGGCATCAGGCAGGCACCAGGTAGGCATCAGGTAGGCACCAGGTAGGCATCAGGCAGGCACCAGGTAGGCATCAGGCAGGCACCAGGTAGGCATCAGGCAGGCACCAGGTAGGCATCAGGTAGGCACCAGGTAGGCATCAGGCAGGCACCAGGTAGGCATCAGGCAGGCACCAGGTAGGCATCAGGCAGGCACCAGGTAGGCACCAGGTAGGCATCAGGCAGGCACCAGGTAGGCATCAGGCAGGCACCAGGTAGGCATCAGGTAGGCACCACGTAGGCATCAGGTAGGCACCAGGTAGGCATCAGGTAGGCACCAGGTAGGCATCAGGTAGGCACCAGGTAGGCATCAGGTAGGCATCAGGCAGGCACCAGGTAGGCATCAGGCAGGCACCAGGTAGGCATCAGGTAGGCACCAGGTAGGCATCAGGTAGGCACCAGGTAGGCATCAGGTAGGCACCAGGTAGGCATCAGGCAGGCACCAGGTAGGCATCAGGCAGGCACCAGGTAGGCATCAGGTAGGCACCAGGTAGGCATCAGGTAGGCACCAGGTAGGCATCAGGTAGGCACCAGGTAGGCATCAGGTAGGCACCAGGTAGGCACCAGGTAGGCATCAGGCAGGCACCAGGTAGGCATCAGGCAGGCACCAGGTAGGCATCAGGTAGGCACCAGGTAGGCATCAGGTAGGCACCAGGTAGGCACCAGGTAGGCATCAGGCAGGCATCAGGTAGGCATCAGGCAGGCACCAGCTAGGCATCAGGTAGGCACCAGGTAGGCATCGGTTAGGCACCAGGTAGGCATCAGGTAGGCACCAGGTAGGCATCAGGCAGGCACCAGGTAGGCATCAGGCAGGCACCAGGTAGGCATCAGGCAGGCACCAGGTAGGCATCAGGTAGGCACCAGGTAGGCATCAGGTAGGCACCAGGTAGGCATCAGGTAGGCACCAGGTAGGCATCAGGTAGGCACCAGGTAGGCACCAGGTAGGCATCAGGCAGGCACCAGGTAGGCATCAGGCAGGCACCAGGTAGGCATCAGGTAGGCACCAGGTAGGCATCAGGTAGGCACCAGGTAGGCATCAGGTAGGCACCAGGTAGGCACCAGGTAGGCACCAGGTAGGCATCAGGTAGGCACCAGGTAGGCATCAGGCAGGCACCAGGTAGGCATCAGGCAGGCACCAGGTAGGCATCAGGTAGGCACCAGGTAGGCATCAGGTAGGCACCAGGTAGGCAACAGGTAGGCACCAGGTAGGCACCAGGTAGGCATCAGGCAGGCACCAGGTAGGCATCAGGCAGGCACCAGGTAGGCATCAGGTAGGCACCAGGTAGGCATCAGGTAGGCACCAGGTAGGCATCAGGTAGGCACCAGGTAGGCATCAGGTAGGCACCAGGTAGGCATCAGGCAGGCACCAGGTAGGCATCAGGTAGGCACTAGGTAGGCATCACGTAGGCATCAGGCAGGCACCAGGTAGGCATCAGGCAGGCACCAGGTAGGCATCAGGTAGGCACCAGGTAGGCATCAGGTAGGCACCAGGTAGGCACCAGGTAGGCATCAGGCAGGCACCAGGTAGGCATCAGGCAGGCACCAGGTAGGCATCAGGTAGGCACCAGGTAGGCATCAGGTAGGCACCAGGTAGGCACCAGGTAGGCATCAGGCAGGCATCAGGTAGGCATCAGGCAGGCACCAGGTAGGCATCAGGTAGGCACCAGGTAGGCATCAGGTAGGCATCAGGTAGGCACCAGGTAGGCATCAGGTAGGCACCAGGTAGGCACCAGGTAGGCATCAGGCAGGCACCAGGTAGGCATCAGGTAGGCACCAGGTAGGCATCAGGTAGGCACCAGGTAGGCATCAGGTAGGCACCAGGTAGGCATCAGGTAGGCACCAGGTAGGCACCAGGTAGGCATCAGGCAGGCACCAGGTAGGCATCAGGCAGGCACCAGGTAGGCATCAGGTAGGCACCAGGTAGGCACCAGGTAGGCACCAGGTAGGCATCAGGCAGGCATCAGGTAGGCATCAGGCAGGCACCAGGTAGGCATCAGGTAGGCACCAGGTAGGCATCGGTTAGGCACCAGGTAGGCATCAGGTAGGCACCAGGTAGGCATCAGGCAGGCACCAGGTAGGCATCAGGCAGGCACCAGGTAGGCATCAGGCAGGCACCAGGTAGGCATCAGGTAGGCACCAGGTAGGCATCAGGCAGGCACCAGGTAGGCATCAGGTAGGCACCAGGTTGGCATCAGGTAGGCACCAGGTAGGCACCAGGTAGGCATCAGGCAGGCATCAGGTAGGCATCAGGCAGGCACCAGGTAGGCATCAGGTAGGCACCAGGTAGGCATCAGGTAGGCACCAGGTAGGCATCAGGTAGGCACCAGGTAGGCATCAGGCAGGCACCAGGTAGGCATCAGGCAGGCACCAGGTAGGCATCAGGTAGGCACCAGGTAGGCATCAGGCAGGCACCAGGTAGGCATCAGGCAGGCACCAGGTAGGCATCAGGCAGGCACCAGGTAGGCATCAGGTAGGCACCAGGTAGGCATCAGGCAGGCACCAGGTAGGCATCAGGCAGGCACCAGGTAGGCATCAGGCAGGCACCAGGTAGGCACCAGGTAGGCATCAGGCAGGCACCAGGTAGGCATCAGGCAGGCACCAGGTAGGCATCAGGTAGGCACCAGGTAGGCATCAGGTAGGCACCAGGTAGGCATCAGGTAGGCACCAGGTAGGCATCAGGTAGGCACCAGGTAGGCATCAGGTAGGCATCAGGCAGGCACCAGGTAGGCATCAGGCAGGCACCAGGTAGGCATCAGGTAGGCACCAGGTAGGCATCAGGTAGGCACCAGGTAGGCATCAGGTAGGCACCAGGTAGGCATCAGGCAGGCACCAGGTAGGCATCAGGCAGGCACCAGGTAGGCATCAGGTAGGCACCAGGTAGGCATCAGGTAGGCACCAGGTAGGCATCAGGTAGGCACCAGGTAGGCATCAGGTAGGCACCAGGTAGGCACCAGGTAGGCATCAGGCAGGCACCAGGTAGGCATCAGGCAGGCACCAGGTAGGCATCAGGTAGGCACCAGGTAGGCATCAGGTAGGCACCAGGTAGGCACCAGGTAGGCATCAGGCAGGCATCAGGTAGGCATCAGGCAGGCACCAGCTAGGCATCAGGTAGGCACCAGGTAGGCATCGGTTAGGCACCAGGTAGGCATCAGGTAGGCACCAGGTAGGCATCAGGCAGGCACCAGGTAGGCATCAGGCAGGCACCAGGTAGGCATCAGGCAGGCACCAGGTAGGCATCAGGTAGGCACCAGGTAGGCATCAGGTAGGCACCAGGTAGGCATCAGGTAGGCACCAGGTAGGCATCAGGTAGGCACCAGGTAGGCACCAGGTAGGCATCAGGCAGGCACCAGGTAGGCATCAGGCAGGCACCAGGTAGGCATCAGGTAGGCACCAGGTAGGCATCAGGTAGGCACCAGGTAGGCATCAGGTAGGCACCAGGTAGGCACCAGGTAGGCATCAGGCAGGCACCAGGTAGGCATCAGGCAGGCACCAGGTAGGCATCAGGCAGGCACCAGGTAGGCATCAGGTAGGCACCAGGTAGGCATCAGGTAGGCACCAGGTAGGCATCAGGTAGGCACCAGGTAGGCACCAGGTAGGCATCAGGCAGGCACCAGGTAGGCATCAGGCAGGCACCAGGTAGGCATCAGGTAGGCACCAGGTAGGCATCAGGTAGGCACCAGGTAGGCATCAGGTAGGCACCAGGTAGGCATCAGGCAGGCACCAGGTAGGCATCAGGCAGGCACCAGGTAGGCATCAGGTAGGCACTAGGTAGGCATCACGTAGGCACCAGGTAGGCACCAGGTAGGCATCAGGTAGGCACCAGGTAGGCATCAGGTAGGCACCAGGTAGGCATCAGGTAGGCACCAGGTAGGCACCAGGTAGGCATCAGGCAGGCACCAGGTAGGCATCAGGCAGGCACCAGGTAGGCATCAGGTAGGCACCAGGTAGGCATCAGGTAGGCACCAGGTAGGCACCAGGTAGGCATCAGGCAGGCATCAGGTAGGCATCAGGCAGGCACCAGGTAGGCATCAGGTAGGCACCAGGTAGGCATCAGGTAGGCATCAGGTAGGCACCAGGTAGGCATCAGGTAGGCACCAGGTAGGCACCAGGTAGGCATCAGGCAGGCACCAGGTAGGCATCAGGCAGGCACCAGGTAGGCATCAGGTAGGCACCAGGTAGGCATCAGGTAGGCACCAGGTAGGCATCAGGTAGGCACCAGGTAGGCACCAGGTAGGCATCAGGCAGGCACCAGGTAGGCATCAGGCAGGCACCAGGTAGCCATCAGGTAGGCACCAGGTAGGCATCAGGTAGGCACCAGGTAGGCATCAGGTAGGCACCAGGTAGGCATCAGGTAGGCACCAGGTAGGCACCAGGTAGGCATCAGGCAGGCACCAGGTAGGCATCAGGCAGGCACCAGGTAGGCATCAGGTAGGCACCAGGTAGGCATCAGGTAGGCACCAGGTAGGCATCAGGTAGGCACCAGGTAGGCATCAGGCAGGCACCAGGTAGGCATCAGGCAGGCACCAGGTAGGCATCAGGTAGGCACTAGGTAGGCATCACGTAGGCACCAGGTAGGCACCAGGTAGGCATCAGGTAGGCACCAGGTAGGCATCAGGTAGGCACCAGGTAGGCATCACGTAGGCACCAGGTAGGCACCAGGTAGGCATCAGGTAGCCGCCAGGTAGGCACCAGGTAGGCACCAGGTAATCACCAGGTGGGAACCGGGTAGCCTTCTCTATAGCCCGTGTTTCTCTTCTGTTAAATCTTGCAGCACAGCATGTGCTTATCCATGTGTGTAACCATGTGTGTAACCATGTGTGTCCCCCACCACGGTGCGAGCAGTTTGGCATCATGACGGAGGCGGAGGTGGCATCGGGCAGCGTGCTCCAGGCAACCCAGCACAGCGGGCGCAAGGACGATGCGGTGCGCGAGCACGTGCGCAACATGTACGTCAACCTGCGCCGCCACTACCACCGCCTTCTCGTGTGCGGGGCAGAGCACGGCCGGGGAGAAGACGACGACGACGACGATGATAACAGCACTGATACCTCTTCCCCGGCCGCTCGCACGAAGCAGCAGCAGCGGCGGCAGCAGCAGAAGGATCCGCGGCTGCGGGTGACGTCCAAGGTGAACGTGGTGCAGGGCATCAAGGCCATGCTGCCGGAAGACACACCCTCTGCCCGCAAGCCTGGCGCTGAGGTGAGTACTGGGGTGGGGGCGTGCCTGCTCCTTGCTGCAATGCTCTATGGAACTTCTGCTTTTGTTTCTACATGCATGGCTTTCTGAAAGAATAACTGTTCTGCCGTTTGCAAGCTGGTTACAGTTCTGTTGTCGTTGGCTTGTGACCTGTTGTGTCAACAGGCAATGGAAGAAGCAACGCGTCTTGACCACGCAACGGCGCGGGCGCGGGCCTTTGCATGGTACCACGTGTGCTACCACCCCTCCGAGCTGCAGCGCGTGCAGCAGGAGGCACGCGGTTTCGGGCTGAGCGTGGCGCCTGTGTTTCTGAGCTTTGCGTGGATCGGTGTGGACATATTGTGCCAGCACCTCGTCACCGACTGATGGGTTGAGCCCGACTGATGGGTTGAGCCCACTCTCATGCACGCTGAACATGGTTTGGCTTGGAGTGAGAGGCGGCAGGGGGAAAGGGAGTTATTGTTGCACTATGCTCTGTTTAGGGAACAGCCAGCTGCCCAAGTAACAGGAGGCGAAACATGACCACATGTTGCTTCTATCACAGTAAGGTACCATACTAGAGAAACAGACCGTGCACTGGCGAGAGCATGAGGTTCGCCCTCGTAGGTAGCACGTGTAAACAGTCCCATGCTCCCTGGCCTCGAAGGCTGAGTAGTTGTAATGCATGGCCGTTGTTCGCTCCGAGCTTGTCATTCCTAGTGACGATGATGAGTTTCGCAGCTTTGGATGTGTCGCGAGGAGCAGATGAAGATGTCTCCGGCCGGAGGCCTGGATCCTGTAGTCACCCAGCGCTAATAACGCATCACTTGGTAGCCGAGCCCCTTGCGGGACGTGACCTGGCGAAAGCAGAGTGGCCTCCCGGGTGAGGGGATGATGGCTGGTGGTGTTCGGCTGCAGCACAGTGTCAAGCGTGCGTTCATGTGTATTGCAATATCAACTATAGGTAAAATCATGTATATATTTGACCATTTCGAACTAGTGTTCAGACATCGAGTCGTGGCGCCGCAACGGCTATGCGTGGACTCAGGAGGTCGCGTCGCCGTAGTGAACTCAAGTGACAGCCATCCAACAACAGCAACCAAGCGTGCACTGTCTGACAGCCATCTCGCTGCCTGACAGGGAATGCAGGCTTGTTTGCAGGGTGGTCGAGCAAAACACTCGAGCAAAACACTATCACACCCTAAGGGCAAAAAAGCCATGTCGGAGTAACACCAAGATAACGGTGTGCTATTTGATCTAGGTTGGCGCCTGTAATACGAAATGGAGAGAAATATTTCCTTCCGAGAGGAATCGCGCATTTTACTACCGCGACATCAGCCAGATGTGACATTTCGGATGCGAAACCAAGCTGAGGTCTGGGCGAATGAAGAAAACACCCTGGGGTACTTCGAGGGGAAAAAGAAAGAACCGTTTATGAGGGGTAGACTCACTCCCACCACATTCCACCTTCCGATAACATATCAATGCCCTGAGAGACTCGCACAATCTTGTTTTTTTTGGCAGAAAGCATGCTCGTGCGCGCGATCGACGCGCGCATCGATAAGCCGGCATCCCACGATGCCTCTTCGTGGGGCATCCAAACAACCCACAACACCGCATCCCATCAAAGTTACGAATCGGCGGGCTGCGTTAGAGTCGCTCTGAGTAAGCTGCCGCGACATGGACTTGTCTTACAGTCTCTCGTGCAGAGACTTCGATCCTCGCTACTATTTTCAAGCAGCTGTCGCCACGACGGCGCCACGCCGGCCCGGCCCGCAAGACCCAGCGTGGATGTGTCCGCCCATCCCAAAAAAGTTCGAGCGACGTACTAGTAGCCCCAGGATACCAACAGGTTACCCCGGGGAGGAATACCCCAGGGTTTTCGTCTAGGGTACCTGCTAGTAACCTGGGAGTATCCCTCACTTCCGGAGTGCTTTTTGCGTTTTGTTTTTTGGGATGCCATGACCGTCCATCATGCGACGGCGCTACTCGTGGCGGCCATGGCGGTTCTTCTCCTTTTCCCTGCTGCACTGCCAGCGGCAGCGGACGCGCCCGTGATGCTCCGCTCTTCCCGCCGCGTCTCCCAGAGTCTCGGTCTGTTCAACCTTCCGCAGTCGTGGTTTCGTAGCGGAGCGGCCACCACCACCGGTGCGCAGCAGGAACGCTCGCTGGTCGAGCAGGCTGGCGGCGCAGGCGGAGCACCCACCCAGGGCGGAGGCAGCGGAGCGACACACCACAAGCCCACTAGCGGCCCAGGCGGCGTCGCCCACAAATCCACTGCCGCCGGCGGCGTTGGCGGCGCAGGCGCCGGCCAGGCACCCTCTGACGCCGGCACAGATGGCGCAAGCGGCGGCCAAGGACCAGGGCCCGCCGGCAGCGCAGGCGGCAGAGGCGCCACCAAGGACCCCCCGACGCTGGCGCAAGCGTCGCCCACGGAACCTCTGACGCCAGCTGCGACGGCGACGGCGCAGGTGCCGGCGAAAGACCCGCCAACTCTGGCGGTGGAGGCAGTGCAGGTGCAGGCGATACGAACCAAGGGCCCACTGGCGCAGGCGCGAGTTACACGGGCGATCCAGGCGCCGCCAAACAAGGCCCCACCGATTCCGACAAACCTAGTAGTGCCCCACGTGGCGCGGCATCATGGCGGACAGCGCGGGGGTCCCACGTCCGGAGTGCGCATGCGGGACTTGGTGGTGTGGCGGGCCGCTAAGTTCCAGCGGAAGTCGCGAGAGGTCCGGGCGCACATGGTGGCCGGCAAGGCCGCGGCTGCCGTGGCGCGTGCGCGCGCTTCGGCGCTGAAGGATGCGACGAACGTGAAGTCTCCAAGTTGGACCAGCCTGGCGCGCAGCTGCGTGGAACAGGTGAGACGACCACTCTCAGTCGGGCTGCATTGATGCTTCCAAATCTGCTCGTGTGGCAATCAAACTTTGAATGCGTTTCAAAGTTGAACTTTCCTGCAGTTGATGGCAATGCATGGTAGTACCGCCATGCTGATGCCCTCGTAATATCATGTGACCCATGGGCCTTGATCGACGCGTGTGTGGCTGGTGTGGTGCACGGCGGCAGATGGCGTTGGCGTCGGAGAGCATGGACTCGGCAGCAGGGATGATGGCGAGCGGCGGTGAGGACGTGAATCTGCCGCGCATCCACCTCTCCAGCGCCGTCACACTCGCGCTCGACTGTGCCGAGGGCTTCGACCTCTTTGCGCCGGGCAGCTCCCGCGATCCTCGCGTCAACGCCCTGCAGGTGCGTGCTTCCAATGATTCTCGCCCCCTGCTGCTGCTCGGTGCGCATGGCTGCCGTGGCGTGAAGCAGCCATGGCATGGCATGGCATGGCATGGCATGGAATGGCATGGCATGGCATGGCATGGAATGGGATGGAATGGCATGGCATGGCATGGCATGGCATGGCATGGCATGGCATGGCACGGCATGGGCATGGCATGGCACGGCATGGGCATGGCATGGCATGTCACGGCATGGGCATGGCATGGCGCTGATCTCGTGCTCCCTGCTCGCTTCTCGCCATCATTCGTTGCCCAGATTGCAGCGCCCTGGAAAGTATCCCATTGAGCCACTTGCCTTCTGCAGTGTCCGTATGGTGCTGGCATGGTGTTGCACGCGGCTATGGCGACGACATGTGTGTTTGGTGTGTGCAGAGAGCAGCGATGGACGCGCGGGCGCAGGTGATGGAGGCGCTGGGGCGAGCAGCGGACATGGCGGCCATGATCGCAGCAGCAGCACGCGACGACACTGCTGCTGCTGCCGCTGCCGTGCCTACGCCCTCGCCCACTCGCCGCCGCCTTCTGCAAGCCGCCGGCGCGACCAGTGGTGGTGCGGAAAACACCGTCACTGACACTCCCGGCACGGCCACGGCCATCACGGTGGCCCACCCCCACAACGCTATCCCTGACACTGGCGCACCCGGCACTGGGAAAGGCACCGCCCACGAACACAACTCCACTGCACCCACTCGCCGCCGCCCGCTGCAAGCCGTCATTGCAGGCAAGCAGTGGCAATGCCATCCCAATGGCGAGGGCCGACCCCCACAACGCCAACCCCGAAACCCGCCCTTCTGGCAATTCTGGAATCACCCCTGGCACCGGCACCCCCGCCATGCCGTCACTGCGGGCGCCATCACCACCAGTGCAGGCACGGAGGCCGACCCCCACAACTCCATCCCTGACACCACTCCTGGCACCGGCAAGGCCACCGCCACCGAACCGCACTGCAGGGCACCGCCGCCTTCTTCACCCCCTCCCCCTTCGCCTCCGCCTTCCCCTCCTCCTTCACCCCCTCCCCCTTCCCCTCCCCCTCCTTCCCCTCCCCCTCCTTCCCCTCCTCCCCCTTCCCCTCCCCCTCCCTCCCCTCCTCCTTCCCCTCCTCCTCCACCTCCCTCCCCTCCTCCACCCCCATCTCCGCCACCCCCTCCACCGCCCCCTCCGCGCATCACCCCCACGGTCACCGTGGCACAGGATGGTTCCGGGAACTTCCTCACCGTGCAGGTGCGTGTGAGAGAGAGTGTGCGAGTGCGTGCACATGCTTACAGCAGAGAGAAATTCTTCCTCACATCACGTGTGTGCTGGCCTCGCCCTCACATTTCTGTGTGTGCTGGCTTCGCCCCCACATTTGTTTCTGTGTGCGCCTTGTGTGCACTCCCCTGGGGCGAGCAGGAGGCGATCAGGGCATACCCGGTGGGGTTCACGGGGCGCTATGTGGTGTTGATCCAGCCGGGCGTGTACCACGAGAAGGTGGCCATCAACTCCACGTGCAAGAACGTCACGCTGCTGGGGCTGGCTGCTGCATCCACCGTCATCTCCTGGAACGACAATGCTGCTGCCGGCATTGGCACCTTCCAGTCCGCCACTGTTGGTAAGCAACGATCCGTGCTCCCTCACTCTCTCCTCCCTGCCGCGGCCACCTGCTCTGTGCGTTTCTGTTTGCACTTCTTCTACCTGTCTCCATCTTGTAAGGTTCTTCCTGCTGCTGTGCTGTCTCTGCCCAACTTTCACGTGGGTGTCAACTATTCAACGACTGAGAGAGCGAGAGAGAGATAGGTACTTACACATTTCCCTCTGAATTTCTTCCCTCCCAGCTTTGTCCCATGGGCATATAAGGGCTCCTCCTCAGTATTTTCTCTCCCAGGGCTGGGAGGAAAGAGGCTGAAAGGGAAACGTGTAGGTACCGATCTCCCTATCTCCCTCTCTCTCCCTCTCTCCCTCTCTCCCCCTCTCTCTCCCTCTCTCCCTCTCCCTCTCTCCCTCTCTCTCCCTCTCTCTCCCTCTCTTCCTCTCTCCCTCTCTCTTCATCTCTCGCCCTCTCCCTCTCTCTCCCTCTCTCCCTCTCTCTCCCTCTCTCCCTCTCTCTCCCTCTCTCTCCCTCTCTCCCTCTCTCTCCCTCTCTCCCTCTCTCTCCCTCTCTCCCCCTCTCCCCCTCTCTCTCCTCTCTCCCTCTCTCACCCTCTCTCTCCCTCTCTCCCTCTCTCTCCCTCTCTCCCTCTCTCTCCCTCTCTCTCCCTCTCTCCCTCTCACTCTCTCCCTCTCTCTCCCTCTCTCCCTCTCTCTCCCTCTCTCCCTCTCTCTCCCTCTCTCCCTCTTTCTCCCTCTCTCCCTCCTCTCTATCCCACTCAGCTGTGGACGGGACTGGCTTTGTGGCCATCGGCATTCGCTTTGAGAACACGGCAGGGAGGGCTGGTAATCAGGCGGTGGCGTTCAGGCAGACGGGCGACAACGCGGCCTTTTACGAGTGCGAGTTCATCGGGTGGCAGGACACCCTGTATGCGCATGTTGGGCGCCAGTACTACCGCAACTGCTACTTCAACGGGTCGGTAGATTTCATCTTTGGCAACAGCGCGACCATGCTGGACAGCTGCACGATCCACATCCGCGCATACTCGGGTGGGGTGGTCACAGCGTCTGGTCGCACCAACTACACGGAGAATACTGGCATTGTGATCCTTAACTCTGTCATCCAAGGTGACCTCGTTAACAAGACATTCCTCGGGCGTCCCTGGAAGCCCTACGCAAGAGTGGCTGTCATCAACTCCACAATCAGTAATGTGGTACGTCCTCTTCTGCCATACTGTACCCTTTCTGCAATGCTGCTGTCTTTGCATGGGCTCACCCTCATCCCCACACTGCACTTGCCTTTTGCTTGCCCTCCCCTCAGCTGAATACAACTGGCTGGCTGGACTGGTTGGGTACAGTGTATACCACTTCCACGTTCATCGAGCAGGGCAACAGTGGGCCGGGGTCTGTGGGGCCGCGCATAGCGTGGGCTCTGCCGGGCATCGTCACTGACCCTGACCAGGTCGCCATGTACTACCCCAACAGTTTTCTAGCACCCTTCTCCACCATCGCCAACCTCATTCCCTTCTCCTGGCTCTGACCCTCTCTCCGCTCACGCCACTACTTCTCCTTCCGTGTTAAGGGCTCTCTTACGTTCAGCAACCTCAGGCACCTCTCTAAATAAAGTCACACATGATTAACAATTTTAGCTAAAAAAAATTGGCTTTAAGATATCGCATCTCTCCCGGGGTATTCTAAATGGGGTGTTGTAAATGATATGGTCCATTAGACCACTTTACTCGATGGTTTCCAATCGTGGTAACTTGCTATATATGCCAGGGTTTGGGGGCAACGTGGCAATTTTGCTACCGCAATCAACCCTGCTGCATACTAAGCTATCGCAAGGGCCCTCATCACCCAAATCTAATTCCAAACCTCACTGCAATCAGGAATTATAAGAAAGGAACCACGCCTACCAAAGCACACCACTCTCCCCCTTCTCCCCCCCCCCCCCCCCCCCTCTCCATCTTATTCCTGCATCAATCATGTAAGGGGCCTTCACCCTGAGAGCCCCACTATCAGCCTCAAAGTCATCGCCTCCTTATCCACCAAAATCTACATCCATCCCCCCCATGGAAGACGCAGCACCGAGCAAGATGACACAAGCTTGAGCCCGTTGTAACACCACCCCAATGAGTGCTTTCAAATACCCCAAGACATGCAAAAATTGCAGTGTCTTCCTCCCGACAGGCCCCCCTCGACATGGCTAGCTGCAATTGCATGTCCCCCTACTGGCATAACGCCGAAAGCGTCTGCCTAAACACCTCACATCTCCACAACCGGCATCGACCGCATATATGATAGTGTTGGGTAGCAGACAGGGTTGTCTTTAATAAGGGTGTTTTTCTATAAAGGAAGTTCCTTGCTAAATAAGTGACCGTTTGAACAATATGGGATATTGTAAGACACCCTTCCTTGCACAAGGTGTCTTAAAAGATAGCACCACAAAGTCATTCTCACGCATCATCCTATTAAAGTATTTGCCAGCTCAGAACCTACCGTATTTACCCGGGTAATGGACCCCCCAAAATTATAGACCCCCGGGTCGTTAAATGGGGGGGGGGGGTTCTGCTATATGCACTTTTGTATTAGACCCCCATTTTCGTAACGAATCCGGATTAGACCCCCCTCACTGTATATACTTCTATTTTTAGAGAGAATGTAGTAAGGGACAGCTTGCTGTAGCGAAATTTCACTGACTTGACTGCAGAATCTGACGCGCGCGTGCCTCGCGTCAGGCTGTGGTCAAAATTTCCCTGACTCAACATTGGAATTCTCGCTTCTGCACTGGAACACTGGTATTTCAAATGACTTTGAAACTTTAAATGCACATAGGATTAGACCTCGGGTCTATTAAATTTACACCCACTTAATAGACCCACCCCCCTTTTTTTCCCGGGGTAGGATTAGACCCCCGGGTTTATTACGCGGGTAAATACGGTATTATCCACTTAATCTAGCTTCTACATCAGTGACATCCTCAGCCTCATACGCATGGTCCTCCGATAAAGAACCATCCTCCTCACTCAAATCGTGCACAGCAGAGCATGGTGGACGAGACTAGCAGGCTGAGGTTCCACAAGCTTGTCCGCCCATACCGCTGCTCCTCGGTATCGCTCAGTATCGGGGTAGGGGTCTTCCTCCACATAATCTGCACTTCCAGCCTCCTCCTCCTCCTCCTCCTCCTCCTCCTCCTCCTCCTCCTCCTCCTCCTCCTCCTCCTCCTCCTCCTCCTCCTCCTCCCTCCTCCTCCTCCTCCTCCTCCTCCTCCTCCTCCTCCTCCTCCTCCTCCTCCTCCTCCCCCCTCACATCTCCTTCAGGGGCTCTGCCTACAAAACCGGTGTTGTCCCACTAGTCCCTGCCAGCGACATATCCTCAGACAAATTCTTGCTCCTTGCACGCAGATGGGCGAGGACGAGGTGATTTTCGGTACCGTCAAGGGTGCTGGAGATTCAGAATTTTATAGTCACAATATGCTCAAATGTGCCTAAAACGAAAGATGCACAGATGTATTTCGGCGGAGCGGCTTTAAATCTTGATAGCGTTCTGGTAACACCACCAAATGATGTGCTACAAATTGGATTTTGAGCGTCTCAACGTCGTCTAGAATTAGCAAGTTGGACGACGTAAGAGTAGTTTAACCGAACGGCGGTTTAGCAACAACTATACTCTTAGAGCATAACTTAGGAAGAAGTGACGAGTTGGGAATGACGTCCAGCTTCTACAAACCCCAAGAGCTGATTTCCAGGGAGCTGGAACAGTGCCGAACAGTCCCCAACCTCGAAAGGTGTGGAAACCACCCACCACAAGGGTCTACACCGATAACTATGTTACACTACGCAATGCAATGTAGCTATTATCAAAATATTGGTGTTAGAAGTTTGGCGAGCTTTTTTGTCACTTGATTCTTGAAACCAAGGCTTTGTGTCTTCATCATAAATTCCTCCTTGAGTTCTTCAAGGCTTGCTACACAGACCTGCGACGCGCCGAACGTTCGACACACGACAAAATAGAGAGCGCACACGACATGCAAACGATGAAGTGATACGCGACTAGCGATAACTCGCTAATGACTCGACACACATATTCTACATCATGACTCATCATTATAAGCATGAAATATCTATGATATCATGCCCTCATACCATTCCATGCACGCACGCATGTACACACAAGGACAACAAGCCGAATGCAAACCATGGGGTTGCACGAACACCGCATATTTTGAATGCCTTCATGATGACCTCGATTTACACGTCCTCCCACGACTCAGCTATCCACTTCAACACCACTGCATATGGTGGCCGCTTATGATTTCCTGCATGTGCAGCCCCACAAACTAGCACACACACACGGATGTCAATGACAATGGCACGCATGGATTTTATCCAGCAAAGGGTGCGGGTTGACACACCTTTGCGGGTTCGTCCATATCAACCCCTCTCCTCACCTCTTCATCTGTCTTCATCACTAGACAGATGTTGAGGTTCTCCCTCCACTTACCTCAGCTGATCTTAATCTGCTATCTTACGCTTCAGTTTTCCTGACATTTTGAATTGTCTTTCAATACCAATACCATTCGGTCCGTGCCTTATGCTCACTTATCTTTCTGGTCCGCACACGGAGACCTAATATTTCAGAATGGAAATTCCGCACGAATTCATTATTTCTCTTTTTTTTCATACCTTTTACGAATCAATGCAAACGAACCAAGGCTTCAACCTGACGCCCATCCATGTGTGAGTGAGCATCTGCAGCCTCAAGGCAATCCGCAGCAGCCGGAATCAAACCCCCTCTCTCCCCTACACTTAGCGCATCAGAGAAGCCACGTCCTCCCTCTAGGATTGGCAAACCACAAGAGAAATAGGACAAATTACCATCAGCTCTGCCAGAAGCCTAGACTGCAGCAGCTATCACATCTGCAGCAAGTGTAGCAGGTGCTAAAATAGAAGCACCAACAGCAGGTGTAATGCCTGCACAAGCTGCAGTAGAAACAGCGAGGTAGCAAGGGCACATGAGGAAAGGAGGGGGGGGGGGGGGGGGGGGGGGATGGGTGGCGGGAATGAGGCAGGTAACCCGGGTGTTACTAGAAAGTACTAGAAAGTACCGAGGCTCTAGAACTAGCGGGATTAGAGCCTTCCCGAATTGGTAAGAGAATTTGGAGATTGATCATGCGCACTCTAGGCAACGTGAGATAAGTCTAGAAAACATGCGCACGCAATCCCATTCGGTGAATATAACCGGAATAGAAAAGTAAACAAATAGAAAAATGAGCGTAGCATTAAAAAATAGAAAATAAAAAAGTAAGTAAAAACAAGGTAGAACGGACGGCATGCTCTTCACCCCCTCCCCCCTCCCCCTTCCCCCTCCTCTCCCCCCCACCCCTCAAAGTTGGGTGGAATAAGAAACACATAAATTGACAAGGTAATCCTTGAAAGCACTACGTGTGTTGCCCATAATTGCTTCTGTGACCCAACTGAATTCCAAAGGATCATACCCCTTCCAATGTATCAAGAACTCGTACTCTGGTTCATCTTGTACGAGTCAAGTAGTGGTGGTGGCAGCTAGCGTCCTTAGTATTGCTGATAAGGGTCCTTATAAGCTTCATGAGTTGAACACAGAAGGCATTGTGAATCTTCTATGTGGTTGGTAAGCGCAAGCAAAATGTAACTGCTGTCACCATCGCCTTAATGTGCAAAGGGATCACACAAGCTTGGACGGATCTCGGATGGTAGATGATGCGGAGACAACTACTACAACGGGAGCTAGAGTACGGGCTAGGCACGGGTGCTCGTGTGATCGCTGCGTTCGTTCGTTCCTTAGTCGTTTCCTTGTGCGCACAGTGCTTGCTAGTTCACGGGGAAAGTTGGCAAGAGTTCCACTAGGAAAAGTTCAGAACAATGGTTGCAACAACATTGGCATGCAAGACTACATCAGAACTAGCAAAGCTGCTAGTCGACCTCCAGCGCAGCATGGTCGACCGCGTGCCAGGACAACTTGGTCGACCGCGCTCCAGCAGAGCAAGGTCGCAGCTTGCCAACGTTGCAAGTCCACGGCGTGCCAACATTGCAGCAAGTCGACTGCACAGCGTTGCACCCACAGAACAACCGTGCACCTGCTTCGCAGGTGTGTGCAGCTGGTTGGTGCACTCTTCCTTGTCACATGCACAGCGCAGACGCCCAGGTCGACTCCACGCCAACGACTGCGCCCACCAGCCACGTCGACCTCTGGATACCACTTCCGAGGTCGGCCTCACAGACTCCACCCCGGCGACACTTGCACACGTCGCCTAGGTATCCCGGTTGACCGGGCAACCACGCCTGGTCGACCAGCTCGGTCGGACGCCGGCTGCCCGGCGTCCCCAATGTTCGGCGCCCACCACCTCGGCGCCCTGTTGCTCGACGCCCAGCTGCTCGGCGTCCTACCCCTCGATGCCCTCCAGCTCGGCGTCCCCAGTCTCCCCTGTCGAGGTCGACGTCGACCCCTTCGTCGTCGACCACCAGGTTCGGTTGACCACCAGGTCGACATCACTTTTGGTCA